TGTGTTCCCGTGTTGTGTACACTGGGCGGTGACACTGCAAACAGAAGCCGTTTGTCCCGCAGTCACGGGGACGTCTTAGATGTGGGTATGCTTGGCTGGACGGGAGACAGCTGAGTGTCCGGTCCTGTTCCTGACCGTAACAAACACCCGGCAGTGACTGGGGCTCTCCCACGGTGACCCACGGTGAAGCTCATCTTAGTCACGGGTGATTTATTCGTCCTGCCGGTGCAGTAGCTTCCCGGTCGAGCACCAGGTTAAGGGCTGCTGCGATGATTCACTCTTACCGTAACATTTATGGTCACGCAAATGTGCCCGCCCACTTAAACGTTTCCCTTCGAACAGAGACCGGGAATTAACGCTTACGTCATAGCTACGTCGTAAACGCAAATCCCTCCCCCACCGCAAATATTTGATTGGCCTGGACGGTAATTTCCCGTCATTTCCGGCAGCGCTGACGTCAGCGTCGTTAGCCTGCGTGTGTTTTTGGATTAGCGTAAGATAAACGTTTATCAGGCGAATCACGTTTGAAACGGATTTTTGTGACAAACCTACCTTAATGGTATGAACCAATCACAGCTGAGCATCCACGCGGCGGGTCGTCAGCGCCCGTGTTGATTGGTCCGCGTCCGACAAACGTCATTCACCAACCTGTGTGACTGTAGCAGCTGTGCGGCAGTCTGCCGGCGGATAACTCGGCTAGCTGAAACATTTGAGCCATGAGCGTAACAGCACCGTGAGAGGACAACGAGCCGCTGCTGCTGCTGCTGCTGAACTCAGGTCGGTGAATCCAACACCGTGTGTGGTTCCTTTACCGGAGTACGTGCACAGGGGATGGTGGGAAACCATGGTTACAAGGGGAAGCGTCTGAAGTAAAAGTACAGATCCTTGTGTTAAAATACTCCAGTACTGGTTGAAGTCTTTCCTTGCCTCCATCAGTAACACACTGCGATGTCTATATTCAGGAAATATTAAATCATTACAAAATAGAAAGGCAACATGTACTTTTAAATATATGAATTATATTATTTACACTGAAGTAAAGCTCTAACATGTTCATATACACTGTCCTGGTTCTGTT